ACAGACTTAAGAAGGGGAACCAAGCCCCTCCCACAATGTCAGGCCATGCCTTCCATATATATATATATATATATATATATACGAAGAATATGTATAAGGTGCACTCACAGGTCTTTAAATAAGTGATAGGTTTATTCCAACGTGCAAATTACATATGCCACAAAATTTATGATGATCGACGTTTCGACCCACAAAGGGCCTTTTTCAAGATCAATAATATCGTGTGTACAGTGAATATATATAGATATACAACAATAAAGACTTACCAAAAAAATGTGTAGTGAGATCGATAGCCGTCCTAAACCCGGAAGTGAGACTGACACACCACGTGAGAAACGTGATGACGCTTAGGAATGCGTCGTTGCTAGGCGACGTGATAAACATAACCTCAAAATAGACGAGTGTATTGATATCGGCTATACAAAGACAGAAGAGATAATCTTAATGTGATATGATCACTCTATATAGTGATCTGCAAGCGTGTATTACAGATAATAGTAATCTGGAGGATGTAATAAACAATGCCAATGTTGCACACAAGTTAGAGGACGGACAAACTGTGAAAAAAATGTGAAAAGTGCACAGAATATCCGTGAATAAAAATGTGAGAAATGTGTAAACACACATGCAATGTGAACAAAGTTGTCCTCCCCAAGAAAGATGTGCTGTATAATTTTACAATGCCAATAAAAAACTGTTCATATTATATGTTACTAACGCATATAGACAATATGCATAATATGTTAAACTGCAGACATCAAGAGCTATGAAGTCCAACAAATTGAAAGAATGCAAAAAATACAAAAAAATACAAAAAATAGTAAAAACTAAAACATTTTTCAGATTCTAATTAATGAATAGTATTACACTGGTAATGTTACAATAAGGCCAAAACATAATAAATATAATGCCTATTGTAAAATATTTACCAACATTTTTTTTATCAAATTTACCAAAAAAATATATTATGTATTTTTATGCATACAATAAAGTCGGGCTACATGTAACCAGAGATAACAATACAGTAAACCCTAAAAGAAAAAGATCTTCTTATATATCTATGCCAAAGGCAACAACAATCTGTATCTCCCACATTGACTATAAACTGAGTACAGCAAATAACTACAGAAAGTAGTTACATATGTTACAAAAACATGGAGTAAGTGTTATATTCATTGAGGCCTTTAGGTGTGACGACTGTATCTAGTTTGAAAATCCAGTACGCTTCTCTTTGAAGTAATAGCTTGGATCTGTCACCCCCACGAGACAAAGGAGGGACATGATCTATAGCCATAAACTTAAGTGTAGGAAGTCTATGCGAGGCTGCTAAAAAATGTTTAGCCACTGGTTTGTCAGTTTTTTGATCCCTAAAGGCCGTCATTATGCCAGACCTATGTCCTCGAATACGGTCCCGTAGGGTTAGGTCTGTTTTCCCCACATAAGATAATCCACAGGGACATGTAATAAGATAAATTACGTGATCTGTGGTACACGTAATATAATGTGAAATGGCTATTCTTTTCCCGCTGTGAGGGTGGGCAAAGGAATTTCCAGACAACATATGGCTACAGGTGACACAACCACTGCATCTATAACATCCGTGTTTCTTGTAACTTACACTCTTCTTGTAATTCTTTACAGGATCACTCCTGACGAGACTATCCCTTAGGTTCCTATTTCTTTTATAACTGATAATAGGATTCTCATGAAATATAGATGATAGCTGTTTGTCAGCGCTTAACATGTCCCAATGCCTGTCTATCGATTTGCGGATTTGTGTCGAAGCAGTATGGTATGTAAGAGGTAGATATATCTTAGGGGTTTCCACACTTGGTTCAATTCGTATTGCGCTCATCTCCTGTGTCCATTTCTCAATAGCTCGGGTGGGCACCCAGGCAGGAATCTTTTGATATTTTTCAACAAAGGGTGAGTGCCAAGTTCACTTTTTCTTCATATATATATATATATATTTTTTTTGTCAGTTTTTTTTATTAGTTTTCATTTTAGTTTACACAGTAGTCAATTAGATGTACAACATTCTTCATCAAGCGGTAGATATCGCTGGTCATGGCTGGGTCCTTGCTTCCCATGTAGAGAGAAAGAGAGAGAATAAGAAGAGAGAACGAAACTTGGGACTTGCCATTATCACTTCCCTTTTAATCTAGACTTTTAGCTTTGGGTCTAAGTCGCTTCTCTTTTGGAAGTGTGCTGGGCACCTACCGTCCCTTAGGTTTTCCTTAGCCAGATTTATTCCTTCTACCTCGACTACCGAAGTCTCTTCAGGGTTTGTCTGGTTTTCAGAGTGTGTTGGGTATTATGCCAGATTAGGGTTTGCTTTTCTGTTAGATAAGCGAGAGTCTAATGTCTAAGGGACCGGGGTTATTCTTGTGGTGTCTTCTACTGTGTTGCATTAGTGTTATGGTCCTGTCTGTGTGTGTTGTCTCAGTGACGTATGGGTAGTCATCCCAGCCCACCTGCTCTCCTTCCTATTTCGGTTCTAACCGTCTCCAACCACCATGCCTACCCTTCCACTTTCGCTTCAGGAGCTGGGTGTGCTTATCTATTTTATCATGCAGTTAATGATCAGATAAGAACTTAGCAATGTGGTTGGGAATGGTGTGGAAAGGAGAAGAAGGACTAAGGTTGTCAGGTCTTGGAGAAGTGTGGGAGGAGAGGAAAAAAAAAGTGGGGAGTGGGCGGGGAAGGAGCTGGGTTTGGAGGGGGCCATGTGGGCCCATGTGGGAGGGTGGTTGATTCCTAGCTGGGACCAAGGGAACTAGCTCTCTTAGTCCTTACAAGGACTTCCCCTTACTGAATACCCTGCAAGCTGGAACAGCAGACACAGGTGTAAAATCTTCCTTCCCTCCAGTAACCAGATGACACACAGTTTTGGAGGTTAAAACACTGACAATCTTTATTGAAGCACACAGCTTTTTATGCACAGACCCCCGCAGGTGGTCTCCACTCAGTACAGTACACTTCCCTTAGTCCCAGGCAGGAGGGGGCTAGGTTACTGATAGCCATCTCCCACCCTGGGAGATACCAACAGTACACAGGGACACACATTAAAACACATTACATACGGGGGGCAAACTTTGGGACTCGATGCCCCAGGAAGTAAGGGGATTACAGGGTTAAAACATACATCGCTAGATAGCCCCAGGTCCCCACTAGGATCCCTGCAAATAACGGGGGTGGGGGGGGGGTACATCTGATAGATGTACAAAGCCTGAGAAATCATCGTCTAAAGTCCGGGGCTCGTGGCTCTGTGCATCTGTAAGAAATTATGACCCTCTTACAAGGATATTCTTTTAGGGAATGTGTGACAAATAAGACACAAACACAAGTGTATAATAAAATGTATTGTAAATATTCATTTAAGGATACTGTTAGATTTTAAAAGGATATACACAATACATAATACATTAAATCCAGTACATAATCAAAAGCTACATAATAAAAGGGCAATACTTAAACATTTAAATGCAGGTCTTCCCCTTGCGCCTTCATCTTGGGTAATCTGGGACAGCCTCTCTCAGTTCACCATGGCCCTGCTTGCTGCGCTGTCCTCTCCAAAGAGAGAGAGAGATAGATAGAGAGAGCCTTCCTTGGATGTTGTCCTTTTAAAGACTAATTCTTGGATTAATAAACTACAAGTCCCAGAATCCCTTTTCACTCCCAAAAGTGGTTTATCCCGCTCTCTTTCTCCAGAGAGTTCTGTCTTTACTCAAGTCTTTCCCTTTGATCTCTTCCCTCCAGCTATACTGTAATGTTCTGAAAGAAGTGACCAGTTAGGGTTGGTTTCTGGGTGGGTTAGACTGCTTGGGAAAACACACACTTCCATGGTTACACCTAGATGCCTATTACTCTGATCTCCTGATAACATACAAGGAATAATGGAGGGATGGAAGCTTTTGTTTTAGCTGGGTGTTGTAAAATGCAACTGAAAGCTTTGATCCTTATCACACTGTTATCAAGTAAATGACCCCAACTTATTCAGTAGCATCTCCATCGGGTTGTCGCCTTTGTCTGCTACCCATGTGATGGTCTCAAAGATCCTCCTCCAATATGGGACCAGCTGTGGATACTCCCAGAATATATGTATGAGCGTTCCACCAGAGGTCCCACACCTCCAACAGGTGTTGGGTGTCTCCGGGGCGTATTTGTGGATTTTCTGTGGCGTGTCGTACCAGTGTGTGAGTATCTTATAGTTTGTCACTGGGTGCTTTGCGCAACACGAGCTAAGGTGGGTTTGAGCCCATGTTATTTGAGCCCATTCCTGGGTGGAGAGCATAGTTTGGAATGCTTCTTCCCATGCTGCCTGGTACTTGAGGGGGGAGGGGGGGAAGTTCTGTCTCCTGATAGTATCACTGTGTGCAGCACGGAAATGCTGTGGTGTAGTGCTGTCCATTTTGAACATATTTCCTCAAATTGGTATAGAGGTCGCTGTAGTTGCAGTCTGTTGATAACCGAGGCGTGGAAGTAGTACAGTTGGTGGTACACAAAGGATTCCAGTGTTGTGGGGGTCCTGTCTCTGATCAGTGTCTGTAGAGGGAGCAAGTTGTTACCCTTGCATAGGTCAGCGAGTCGGATATAGGAGTCCCTTTCCAAGTAATTCAGTGTCCTCTTTCTGTGGCCCGCTAGGAATTCTGGGATATTTGAGACTGGATACATGGGTCCGTTGGCTATCGTGAGAGTAAACCTGGATCTGATTTGGTTCCATGTTTTTTTAACGTTGCCCCTATGAACGGTTGTTCTGAGATTAGTTTTATGGTGGCGGTGTCTGAATGCCATAACACAACAGTTATCCTTCGCTTCCCGGTCAGGGATGAAACCACTTTGATATGGGTTTACCAGTGATGTTAGGACTGGTTTCATGCACGCTGCAAGCAGCTTGCAGTCATAGTTTAGAAGGGAAATTGGCTTGTAGCTCCCACATTGTTCAGGATCTTTCCCTTCCTTAGGGAGGATGGTGATGTACGCTAAGAAAGACTCCATCCCTAACTTGATGTTTTGATTGCCACATTTAATTCTTGTAGTTTGATCTCTGCATCTAGGGTGTCCCTCGCCTCCATCGGTATCTGTTTTTTGACATGGGTAAAGCCATAGTTATTCATGTCGGCTAGGCAGGAAGCATTGTCCCGTGGGTTCATGGTCTCTTGGATATCATACAGTGCTGAATAATATTTGTGGAAGGTCTCTGCCATCTCCCTTGGGTGTTTTATGGTCCAGTGGGGGTTCACCCTTATTTTTCCAATGTGAAGATTGTCTTGTCTTTTCTTCAACATTTTCACCAGGAGACGTCCACACTTCTTGGAGTGCTCACCGAAGAAGCATCTGGACTTCTGTAGCTCGTGTAGGTGTTGCTGGGTAAGTAAAGTCTTAAGTTTTTTCCTGGCTTCAAGTAGGGTTACAAAGTCCTTATCCACTAAAGATTGTTTGTGTCTCAGTTCTAACGCTGCATTCTGCATCAGCAACGTCCCGAGTTTCTCTGACCTTGCCCTCTTCCGATCTGCGCCTATTGTAATGAATTTCCCTCTGATCACACTCTTGTGTGCCTCCCAGATTACTGTTGGGGGTGTCTGAGGAGTAATATTTTCTTCAAGGTATTGGGTGAGTGTTTCATTGATAGCCCGGACCACCTCTTCCTCTAGGAGCAACGAGTCATTTATTCGCCATGGCCTTTCTCTGGGTTTGAACAGGGGGCGTGATCTGACCATGTAATGTGTCCCACTTGGGAGACCTGTAGGCTGGTCAGGTAGGGCTTGGTGAGGAATATATAGTCTATCCTAGAGTAGGACCCGTGGACCCCTGAGTAGTAGGTGTAATCTCTGCTTTACAGGTTCAACGTTTTCCAGCAGCCTACCAGGTGTAATCTCTGTAGTGCCTTCCTGACTAGGCGCATACGTCGATATGGGATTGCGCTGTGGCCTCGTGATGTATCTATTGTGGGATCCATTGGCATGTTGCCGCCCAGTATTAGTACCCTCTCAGTGAATTCCCCCAGTCGTTGCAATGTTGACTGTAGAAAAATGTGTTGTTTGATTCGTGTGAGGCGAAGTAACCACTGGGATACCTTCGGTCTAGTAGTTCCCTGTCCTGTTTGAAATGGGATTTTTGGATCAAGGCGACTGAGATCCTGAGTGATCTTCGTCCCGGCACGTTCAGGCCTCTGATGAACTACGTACCTTCAGTGGGTCAGGGATGAACTCCAATTGTCCCTTCATCGCGACGTTCTCCTTGTTGTGTTGCTGGTGTGTATACGGTGGTGGGAAGAGGGAGGGGTGATGTGGGAGAGAGAGAGAGAGAGAGGAAAAAAGGGGGGGAGGGGATGATCTGTGTGGATTCAGATAGGAATTAGGGGAACTCTTAGAGTTCCAGCCACTGGAAGTTGGGGAAGGCAGACACGTAGAGAAAGGGTAGTCAAGAAGAAGGAGATAGTATGTGTGGCTGGTGTTGTGTGCACCTATACAGTTGCAAGCATCTGCTCACGGGTCAAGGGGTTCCCCTCACTGCGGAGTGGGCCACCCCTTGATCTCCGCGCAGAGTATTCGGTTTAAGGTACAATGACGCCTCCTGTCTGGGTGATTGGACTAGCGACAGAGTTTAAAGGCAGTCCTGCCTCCTCCTTATCTGACAACTAAGTCAATATAGTGAGCCCCTAACTTCCGGGGTCCCTTTATTCAGAGCAGACCTTAGTCCAATGGTTCATGTATTATCCTAGTGTATATGTTAGTATTAGTCCCATCCATTCCTGCAACCGATCCTGGGTTTTTAATTGGTGGGAAAGGAACCTTTGTGTGCTCTCGTTGAGCCCAGGACCTCCCCTATTTCATTGCATCCAGTGAAGGGGCTATGTCTGTGTCACCTCGTCCCATCTTTCCCTACGTTATTACTACTTTAGGGGTTAGCCGAAGTGATGAATCTTGTGTCCAGTTGGGATTACTCTCTTGTTTGGTTTGTACGTCTAGGGGATAATTGGGGCTCAGGTGGGGTGATGCGGGGGGGGGGAGGGGTGAATGGATCATTACATGATCCATTCCGGGCACTTCAGTTTGATGTCCAGGTTGTGAAGCGGGAGACGTCTGGGGGTAATATGCTCATGGAGATCCTGCCCTATAGCGCAACCGTGGTATCCCTAGTTAACTGTACTTGGATAACATCTTTAAATATAAAGATGACTGTATTGTTTAATACACACAGAGTAAATCCACATTATAAAGCTATAACATCATGTGTAAGGTATTTTGGCTGACCTCCTCCTCTTTCCCTCCCAACCTTTATCAGGGTCCTTCTGTCCCATGATAGATACTTCCGCCACCCCTGTGAGTCCCCTATGCTCCCCTGTTCCTTTGTGATCGCTTCTGGCCCCGCTCATCACTTTTGTACCCATTGCCCAAACCAGTAGAACACGCCCCTCCCCTCATGAGATGAGTGTCAGGCTTATGGTTGGCCCGTAACCTGACTCCTGGATATTGGAGTCGGAGACACGTTTTTAGACCCTGCAGGACTGGTGCCCTTAGGTCTCCTGGCTTTGCTGACCCCCTCCCTCTTCCCATCCAACCTGTCTCTGGGTCCTCCAGTCCATATGAGAGGTACTCCCGCCACCCTTGTGGATCCCCTACGCTCACCTGTTTCTTTGTGATCTCTTCTGACTTCATCTGGTTGTATCTTGGGGATCAGGCGAGGTCGGGGTCCGCCCGAGATCAGTTCTTCGGCCTACTTGGAGTTGCTCTTTGTTACAAACTGTCTTTTGTAACTGGTTCTTTGTGTGACAAATTGCCCTGTTCCCCTGGCTTATGGAGAAGCCTTATTGCCAGCCTCCTGCCTCATGACTATGGCCCCTGGGAAGTATTGCCATTTAAAAACACTATTTGGACTCAGAGACACTGGGGCTACTTTGACACTGATACAGCCGCACAGAATATTTCCTTTTGAGAATACTGTCTGCACTGTAGCAGTAAGGGTGGCAGGAGGAGCCATTCACAAACTGCCAACCACCCGAGTTTGCTACAGCACTCAGTGACGGCGTTCCGTCACAGAGCTATACCGGATCTCCAAGCTGAGGCAAAGGCCAGAGGCGACCTTGCCAAGATGAAGATAGGACTCCAACTGAGCCCCGAGGAACAATCCCAGCTTCAGGCCATTTTACAGCGGCAGCCCCAGTTGTTCTCTGCCCAATCAGGAGCCACTACAATAGCTCACCATTAAGGCAGTTTAGGGGGTTTGGGAATTAGGGGGCAAATCCGCAAGGTGCTAGAGGAAATGTTGGCACTCTGGGTCATAGAGCCCTCACACAGCCCCTGGGCATCCCCAGTTGTTCAGGTACCCAAAAATGATGCAACGACCCAGTTCTGTGTGGATTATAGGTGGCTTAATGACAAAACTATTACCGACGGATACATGATGCAGCGAGTGGACAAACTTCTTGACCGACTGTCTAGCGCTGCCGGGGTCTCCACTCTTGACCTGATCCGGGGGTTACTGGTAGATACGCCTGACAGCAGATGCAGTCCCCAAGTCAGCCTTCATTATTCCGTTCAGCTTGTTCGGGATGAATAGCATCCCAGCTACCTTCCAGCAGCTGGCAAACCAGCTGCTAGAGGGGTTACAGGCAGTGGTGTATCTTGGTTTTGTGCTGCCCTAGACGAGACTAAACTCGGTCACCCCCCTAATCAGTAAAAATCAACAGACATAGCGTCAAAAATCAACAGACGTAGCGTCAGTGAAAATCAACAGGCGTAGCGTCAATAACAATCAACAGACATAGCATAAATAAAAATCAACAGACATAGGGGTGGGGCCTGGCAGCCGACTGAGGCAGACGTGCAAAGCCAGAGTTCTTCGGAGAAAAGCTTGATTCTGCCCAAGTGGTAGTGCTGACCTTTTTTTAGTTATGTTCAGTCTTATGCTCTTATCCTACACTTCAATTGATCATCGGCTTGTTTTGCAGGAAAATGTGACATCCCTTACTGCAGGCATCTCAAACTCCACTAGCTGTATCTGAACTACAACCCATTGTTTCTCTGAATTAAAATCTTGTTTAAAGAATTCAGAGAGCACATAACTTTTAATTTTATATATAATTTTATATAATAATTTTAAGTGTAAAGTTGGCATCACAAAAATATTTGTTCATGCGATTAATTTAAGAGCGTTTATATTTACTTGTACTATATGAAACATGATTGCATTACATTCCTTATTTCATTGAAGCGTCATTGGTGGTGTATTGGGGAGCCTAACTGCCCTCCAAGATGTTGATCAGGGTTCCATTTCTGCCCCTGTTACATTTTATATACCGGTATATATATATATATATATTTATTTTAGAATGAGTAATCTCATCCAATCTGAGAAACTTGCTGCCTTAACACTGTAAATTCTAATAACCATTATCCTTCTGTGGCTCCCTAAGAAATCCTACATTTATGGAAGCTACAAATCTAATGGGGGGACTGAATGTGTATGAAGTTTACAGAGAAGAGACAAGTAGCTGACCATCTGAGATTAAACAAATTAGCATATACAATCATAAGACAAAAAAATAAATCTGTCCAAGGTGAAAAGCTCAAGAGATTGATAAAAAGAGAGATAAGGAGTGATGTTTAATTCGAAAGAAGCAATGGCTAACCAAAAAATAATCATTGTTAAATAGGAACACTTTGGGTTTGGGGCTTATTACTGGCCTCCTTAAAATAAAAGGCAAGAGACAGATTGTTGCTGTCTGTCCTCTTTCAGCTACACTGCTCCCTGTTACTCATTTTATATCTCTAGGTTGAAACCATTCTAACAACCAAATGAATTACAACTGATGAACACGATTAGTGTTATCTAATAGACATACAAATGTAATTTATTATTCACAACTGGAACAGACAACTAAATAAGTATGAAGGTAGTAGGAGATAGCACCAGCAAGAATCACTGCTGCCTGTGTTAACTGTGTGAAAGAGTAAGAGAAACACATTATCCTGCTCTGGTCTTCTTAACACTTTAATCCTCATATTACATCCTCAGGGGGGTCTTCTTTATCTTGCATGACATTGAGCGGTAAAACATTTACCGTATTGTATTTTAAATGTATATAAAGTCAGAGGTCTGAAATGAATCGAGCTGACTCCATTTGGTTTCTACAAACTTTCACTGAGTGAATTGTGTTCTCTTAGCAGGCAGCAGCCAAGCAATTCCTATGGAAGGTCAAATGAGGTGTCTTCGTGCATTTCAGGGGAGAATGCGCCGATTTTAGTGGCCACATTGAACATAAAACATAAGTTTTACAGAGCAGGAAACACAGAGCCAGAGCAGAGAGCGACGTGAAGCAGGAGATGGGAGAGAGTGCGGGGAGCTGCGTCTGTCAGTTTGAGCCAATCAGAAATGGTGCTGAACAGCCAATCGGGTGTCAGCTTGAGCTATATAAGAGAGACTGGCACAGGCCAAGGTTTAATTCTTATTACCGTCTGATCTCAGAGAAAAAGCGAAATGGCTGAAACTGCTCCCGCTGCCGCACCTGCGGTTGAAATCGATTCTAAGAAGAAGCAGCCTAAGAAGACATCCAGCGCCAAGAAAGTCGCCAAGCCGTCCGGTCCCAGCGTGTCCGAGCTCATTGTTAAAGCTGTGTCTGCCTCTAAAGAGCGCAGCGGTGTTTCCCTGGCAGCCCTGAAGAAGTCTTTGACCGCCGCTGGTTACGATGTGGAGAAGAATAACAGCCGCCTCAAGCTGGCTCTCAAGGGCTTGGTGACCAAAGAGACTCTCGTCCAGGTCAAAGGGAGCGGAGCCTCTGGCTCTTTCAAGCTCAACAAGAAGCAGGCGGAGAGCAAGGACAAGGCTGCTAAGCCCAAGAAGGAATCGGCTAAAGTAAAGAAGCCCGCTCCAAAGAAAGCCACCAAGTCTCCGGCTAAAGCTAAAAAGGTGGCCGCAAAGAGCCCGAAGAAGGCCAAGAAGCCTGCCGTCTCGGCTAAAAAAGCCACCAAGAGCCCCAGGAAAGTCAAAGTCGCCAAGCCCAAGAAGGCAGTGAAGAGCCCGGCTAAAAAGGCAGCCAAGCCCAAAGCCGCCAAGAGTCCAGCAAAAGCTAAAAAGGCAGCTCCCAAGAAGAAATAAGAACACGTGTTTTTTTGTTTGTTTTTTTTTTAAATCCCAAAGGCTCTTCTAAGAGCCACCAACTTGTCCTTTCAGAGCTATGAGCACAGGGAATCGTGGGTTTTGAGTGTATTAGCTTTTACACGCTGTATGTTGAGGAAGGGGATATTCGTTTAGATTAGGAATGGAATGCTCGGACGTTCCACTTTAGATTGTTCAGCTATCGCTGCCAGTACAAAATAGGTTTGGTTTTGTAAACACATCTACTGCCTACAATACAGATTTAGGAGTATTTATCAAGCTGTTGGTGCCATTGCAATCTGTGACGGTGTTCTGAAAGGGATTAGATGCTCCCCGTTTCAGTTTGGAGACTTGTATTAAAAATACATTCACCCAAGCAACGGTGTATTCCAATGGCATATTTAATGCATTGTCGCCATCTAGCGGCCTATTGTAAGGAGTCACTTCATGTTGAAACGCAAAGCTGTAAGAGCCATAAACAGAGTGACCGGACCCTAATAAACGCCCACTGACAAATCTACAAACACGCAGGAGTGGGACTGATGATATGTCAGGGAGTCCGCTTTGGTCTCCCTCCTCCCTGTTCGTGGAATAGCTTAATGAATCGCTGCAGCGGGTAGAACACCAATAATACCAGTTATATAAAAGCAGATCTAGTTCCGTCTCTATAATCTGTGAGGATGGACATTTTGGCGCCCAGTTTGAACTCGGAAACGGTTAATTTTCTCGTCCAATCAGAATGCGTATAGAGAACGGGCCAATCAGAATGAGTACAGAGAACGGGCCAATCAATCAGAATGCGTCCAGCGGCCTATAAATAGAAGGCTGCGGCTCTTTGTTTTTCATTCGATTTTTAATTTCTGTGATCGCGAAGAGATGGCCAGAACTAAGCAGACCGCCCGTAAATCCACTGGTGGCAAGGCTCCCCGCAAGCAGCTAGCCACCAAAGCTGCCAGGAAGAGCGCCCCAGCTACCGGCGGAGTGAAGAAGCCTCACCGTTACCGGCCGGGAACTGTGGCTCTCCGGGAGATCCGTCGTTATCAGAAGTCCACCGAGCTGCTCATCCGCAAGCTGCCCTTCCAGCGCCTTGTCCGGGAGATCGCTCAGGATTTCAAGACTGATCTGCGCTTCCAGAGCTCTGCTGTCATGGCTCTGCAAGAGGCTAGCGAGGCTTACCTGGTGGGTCTCTTTGAGGATACCAACTTGTGTGCCATCCACGCCAAGAGGGTCACCATCATGCCCAAAGACATCCAGCTGGCCCGTAGGATCCGAGGAGAGAGAGCTTAAGCTTTTAAACTGCTCACACAAACACCACAAAGGCTCTTTTAAGAGCCACCAAATCTGCACTCGAATGAGCCTAAATCCTTCCCCTCCACGTAGCCCTTTTACACCTGTGAATATAATCCTAAACACAGGAACTGCCATGAGTGCTTTCAGTTACGCGAACAGAAGCAATAGCTGACTTAGTTATTCACTTTTGCTAAAAAAAAAAAAAGAAATCCACTATGAAATACCCCTCGTTTTTAGTTTGTTAACATTTAGTGGTTGAACCTAACATGAGACTGGTATATTTTTAGTACAGAGTCGATGTATATATTTTTTTTAACGGTGCAGAGTCGGTGGTAATATCATTCAGCTCAGTTCGGAAATAGTGGGTGGCTCTTAAAAGAGCCTTTGGGTATGAAGAATCGGTGTCCGATGATTTACTTGCTCTTGGTTGACTTGTGGCTCTCGGTCTTCTTGGGCAGCAGCACAGCCTGGATGTTGGGCAGGACACCTCCCTGGGCGATAGTCACTCCTCCCAGCAGTTTGTTGAGCTCTTCGTCGTTACGGACAGCGAGCTGGAGATGGCGGGGAATGATGCGGGTTTTCTTGTTGTCTCTAGCGGCATTCCCTGCCAGTTCCAGGATCTCAGCGGTCAGATACTCCAGCACTGCAGCCAGATAGACGGGGGCACCGGCTCCCACACGCTCTGCATAATTCCCCTTCCTCAACAGACGATGGACTCTGCCGACTGGGAACTGAAGGCCAGCTCGGGATGAGCGAGTCTTCGCCTTTGCACGGGTCTTTCCTCCTTGTTTTCCGCGGCCAGACATGCTGGTTCAAGAATATCGCTGATAATAACAAAACATCCCCCCCTCATACGGGGTTATTTATAGACACACTCTGCTCTGTGATTGGATGGCTTTACAAGCAGCCTATTAGAGACACGTTATACAGGGAACCAATCAATTGCTGAAACTATGACATCGTTATGTCACCTGTCTGCAGTGACCAATCCCATCACGGGAAGCGGAAGGGCTTAATTTGCATGGTTTGCCTATAAATAGAGCTGCCGGAGCGCGCAAAGTGACATAGTATTTACAACAAGCAGCATAGATCATGCCTGATCCAGCCAAGTCTGCACCAGCCGCCAAGAAAGGCTCTAAGAAAGCCGTGACCAAGTCCCAGAAGAAAGATGGTAAGAAGCGTAGGAAGACCAGGAAGGAGAGCTATGCCATCTACGTGTACAAGGTGCTGAAGCAGGTCCACCCCGACACCGGTATCTCCTCCAAGGCCATGGGGATCATGAACTCCTTTGTCAATGACATCTTTGAGCGCATCGCAGGAGAAGCCTCTCGCCTGGCTCACTACAACAAGCGCTCTACCATCACCTCCCGGGAGATCCAGACCGCCGTGCGCCTGCTGCTACCCGGAGAGCTGGCAAAGCACGCCGTGTCCGAGGGCACCAAGGCTGTTACCAAGTACACCAGCGCCAAGTAATCGCATTCTTCTACTTTACTATAAACCCAAAGGCTCTTATAAGAGCCACCCACACTGTCTGTCAGAGCTCTAGTCCTGATAAATCCGCTCGTATCTACTGCTCTCAGTATTCACGGTTTAGTGAATCTCACACATTATACAAACTGTTTTGTATCACTAGTTTGAATTGCTTTCGCTTTCTAGCTGGATTTTTAACTGAAATCCGTCTTTAGAAAACCTGCTCCATTCCGCATTACTGGAATTACGGACAAGTGAATGGAACTTGTGGGTCCCAAGGAGCCACCTTGGAGGTTTAGCAACTAATTCGTGTAGTGCATTTATAGCTGTGGTGGGAGTAGGATGTAGAAAAGACAAACCGCTCCTTGATCTGGCCAATGCTATGTCCCCATAGTCAGGAGACCGGTCCTCAGGGAACAATAACTAATCACATGGAAGTCGCGCTTCTCTGTGGCTGAGATTCACAGGGGAAATTCCACAAATAGCCACTAGATGGCGACAATAGGCCGCATTCAGTGTTTTCTTTCCCCCGAGTTCTGTCTTAGAGCACGGAGGACCTGCACACCACACTGCTGGGGTGAAAGGTTTCTTTATAAAGTCTTGGGGTTTATTACAACTGGTTAACATGACGGCTCTTAGAGCCAGTAATAAGCTAGAGTTTAATATTAACCCGGCCACAGTGAACGCCAGTGTAACAAAGAGAAGGGAAGCCGGCATTAACTAACACACAGAGCGTCCAACGCAGGCAGTGACAGACACAGCTCTATTAGGATATAGTGGGTGGCCCTTAAAAGGGCCTTTGGGTTAGTAGGGTGTGCGGTAAGCCGAGTCAGGGTTTTACCCTCCGAAGCCATAGAGAGTGCGGCCCTGGCGTTTGAGAGCATAGACTACGTCCATGGCGGTCACAGTCTTCCTCTTGGCATGCTCGGTGTAGGTGACGGCGTCCCGGATAACATTCTCCAGGAAGACCTTCAGCACCCCGCGAGTCTCTTCGTAGATGAGGCCGGAGATACGTTTCACTCCTCCTCTGCGAGCCAGGCGGCGGATTGCAGGCTTGGTAATGCCCTGGATGTTGTCACGCAGGACCTTCCTGTGCCGCTTAGCACCGCCTTTCCCAAGACCCTTTCCGCCTTTACCTCTGCCAGACATGGTTCTCTTCTATGACGATCACAGACGAATGAAAAACTTGAGCGCCGAGCAAGGCTTTATATAGCGTGATTACGACCTGATGGGGAACTGCACAACAAGTAGGCAGAGTGATAGAGGGCGTGGTTAGGGTGTGAAGTCACGCCCACTCATTGTCCTCTTGGCGCTCAACACGAAAGCCTTACAGACTCTCCTATGAGAACACGGGGGGAGGGGCAAACACGGAATCATTGGTCAGTTTGTAAATTATTACTCCTGGCGCCAGCCCTCACAACGGTACTTCCTCCCATCGGTTTCAACAACAAAATAAGATGGAAAAATAAATGCTGGTGTTCTCTACAACATAACTTTTGATAATTTTTTTTTTTAAAACCCAATTTGAAATGTGTTAAGTATCAGTTTGCTATTTATTCATATAGTATCACAATTTATTCTATAACTGGAATTGGAAAAAGAGAGGATAGCAGTATGTAGTGTATATTATTTGTAGTGTATATTATTATAAATAATAATAATAAACGCTCATTGATTAGTAAAGGTGCAAAAATGATAAAAATCTTAGTACAGAAATCATTTATCACTCCTTTTGTTAAAAGGCTGGATTGTTATTTTCCGAAGGCACCACTAGAGGCTACTATAGTACTACATACTGCTATCCTGTCTCACACACAGTTACAGACACTCATTACACTAAATAGCTTTAGGTAGCTGTCCTGCAGTCTAAATATAATGGCCTATAAGTATAGGTATGTCACAGAAGCCGTGACTTGTGTGCTCAGTTAATTTTAAAATGTTGAACTGAATGAAATCCATTGTGTTTAATAAGCTTATATAAAAGGCATTGAGAAATGTGTCTTGGTGTCCAGCACCAAAATTAATTATCATGTCTTGACCTAATTTAGTCCAAGACACCAGGGTTTGGTTTGTAGGGGGATAAATACATGTGGTTGTCCCCGAAATAAAAATTTCTCTTCTTTTACAGAATACAAGTGGTCTTGTCCACTATATTGGGGGATTTTACAATGATCCAGAGGGCTATAATCACTGTATGCTGTAGCTGAATACAGGACCAGTGAAGGATTAGAGAAGTGGTGACCACGGGTCACTAGGAGATCCTATTACCCATGACAAGGTGTAATACCAGTAGTCAGTAAAACTATAGATAGATATGAAATACAACTCTCTCTCTTCTCTCATACTAAATCAGCTGGTGTCTGGAAACATTTAAATACATTGTGGTGACCAGAACCTCTCCATGGGCTTTTGGAGAGGCCTGCTTGCCAGCCTCCTGCCAAAAGACTATGGGCTAGGTCAGCGACTGTAAAGACCCAGATTTTATTACCCCTGGTACGGCACTTTCTATAGAACCGAATGCTAGCTCACTGGCGGCTGTTTGCAGGGACCAAAACCACGAATAGACTTCAGGGGGACTTAGCCGCGAATGCCCTGGAACTATTTTCGGCATTAAAACTTTATGGTTCCCAGTCGGTCCCCAGCGGCACTTAGCCGCGATTCTATGAAACTGTTTTGGGCATGGGACCATGCGTGCGGTCGGCCATAACTATGACTTCCAGGAAATTCCTGAACTCCTGAACTGATCTGGGAGACTTTTGGATATGTTGTTCACCCAGATAGGGGCTATCAGGGGATATAACTACAAAAATACAATAAATACAGTACTTGACTCAATTATCTCCCAAGTACAGAGGAGGGATTGACCTAGTTTGTATGGGAGTGTCCTGGATCTGAAAACCAATGTGATGTTGTATTTGTTTCTACTGTGGTTTACTCTCAGGTCCAGGGGGAGTGCCGCTTGCATGGGGATTGTCATAAAAGATCAAGCGTGGTCCCATTAAAACCAGTTCACTTCACCATCAACATGCAGCCTCGTTTCGTGATTGTAGGTAACAGCTATACCTGCTTCTGATTGCTATATTGAGTATAATCACTAGCTCTTGTAAGAGCTACACAGCTATACCTGCTAAACTCTCTGGAGTAGGAGAGGTCCACCATGGGCGTAGGAACCTCCAAAAATCTGGGGGGGATATCATTTTTACTCACCGTGTATATTTTTATTCTGCAAACTAGGAGTTGTTTATCCCATTGTACAGTGCTACGGAATTTGCTTGCGCTATATAAATGATAAAATAATAACATTAAAGGGTCACTACAGGGAAGGGGATTTACTTACCCATATACAGCTTCAGGATCCTCAAAATGACGAAATAGGAGGGTGCGAGCAGGAAGCAATAAAACACTTCTATTCAGAAGCGTCATTGCTCCCTGGTGCGCGTGCGCAGCTTTGCCGCACATGCGCAGATACTTCATAGGGCGGCATTCATGTCTCGACTAGGAAGCACCTCTAGTGGCCATCTGAGTGT